ACCTAGGTTTTCTTTTCCCTGTGTTATCGGAAATGGACAGCAATAGTTACTGTTGTGTAACGGTTATTTAGATATAATCTAAGAATCCCCACTGTAACGTTTGCCGTGCATTTTTTATTTGCATGTGACTGGTAAATGTTACCCGGAGAATGTATAAGTTACTCCCCCCCCCCTCCTTCCCTCGTGCGTCCTATAAAGAACTGGCTGGGGTGTACTGAAGGCATATCTGGGTACAAGTTCTAACCCATTTCATCTCAGTATTGGTTCTTCTCTGGGGCATAACCTTCGATTTGAAGTCTATCGCCTACAGTACAGTGTCACAAAATTACAGGCACACCATCATCATAAAGTGACAGATGTAAACCAGACTAATCGGGTGCTCTAACAAAAATCTATATCATCATCCTAGTGTTTCTTCATCACCCATCTGTTCAGGTTTAAAAAAAAAAAAACTTTTATCTTAATATGCCCCTGTCTCGAGTGTCTTCTATTTTTCCAATGAGAGGAAGATATCCAAAGCCTTAATGTCGATTGAAGTGTTCTAGAAGAATACCATTTCGGAACTCCAAGGTGACCGTAAAGATGGTTCCAGTAGGGAACGGGATAGAGGGTGCCCACGACCCTCGTGAGTCATTGGAGTAGAGGAATATAGGACTAACGCTAACATTACTTAAACGCAATCCCACACAATCACTCATCACCACCATTATTTCTAAAATCACCACTGCTCTCAGATCAATAACTTACATCTATAATCCTGGAATCCCTATCTGTAACAGTTACTTCCCATATTAAGTATGCACGTAATACGCAATTGGACACTATCATACGCACTTTTTTTCTACGAATGAGATGGCGTCAATCTCATAGAAATGGGCAAGGGATAAAAAAAGTGTCCCAGAAACTGCATACCTCACTTGCTAGAACAGTCCGCGAGATTCGTACAGTATCACGTCCTGGTCTGATTTCTTTTTCTTCAAGGAAATTCTCAAAAAACATTTATTGAACATGTCAAACTCTAAATCAACAAAGCTGAGAAATGTCTGAAGAAGATTCGAGATGGGTGTGCGTTTGTAAGTGTGTGTGTGAGTGGTGG